CAAGCTTGCATATTTAAGTTCAGTAATTTCACTTAAATGACAATTAATAGGTAATCTTCATTGCAATTTAAGTGAAATTACTGAACTTAAATATACAAGCTTGATAAAAATCATCATTCTAGGAGAAAATTTCAAATGGCATTTAGAGGCTTTTGCATCTGAACTCTTCAAATATATATTTATATACAGTATATATATTTTTTTTCTTTATAATGAAGATGTCTGTATTAAGTAGATTGTGTTTAACACACAAAAGAGAGATTATCAGATCATCGAGGCCTCGTCCTGCTCACCACAACTCTGATTTAGGGTTTTATTTAGTTATAATAAACAAAAAAATTAAATACAATTTTTCCCCCGATTAAACGATTAATCTGAAAAATAATTGTCCGATTAATTGATTATCAAAACAATCGTTAGTTGCAGCCCTAAACTAAACAAAAATGAATAGCTTTTAAACTTTCTTTCAGTTAAGGAATTCAATAAGAAATGTTTCTTGAAGAGCAAATCATCATATCCGAATGATTTCTGAAGGATCACGTGACACTGAAGACTGGAGTAATGATGCTGAAAATTTAACTTTGCCATCATAGAAATAAATTTATATTTTTTAAAATATATGCAAATAGAAAAAAAGTTTTATAATATTTCACAATATTACTGTTTTTACTAAATTTTTGACCAAATAAATGCAGCCTTGGTGAGCATAAGAGCATTGAAATGACTTTCTAAAAATATATACTGTATATTGTCCAGCCAGACCTTCTTTATGACACAGGTACATCATCAAACACAAAAAACAGACATGTCACCCCCAGGACTGCAGAGACACCACCTGGATACACACATTTTTCTCTCTAATGACCTTCACCAAAGCATGAAAGCATTCAGACACATGACGTGGTTGTTCATCGTGATGTGGCCAACGGTCTATGTGCTTTTTATGGCCGTATGTCCTATTTTCAGGCCGCCTTTTATATTCACAGCACGCTGGATCTATGAGTGGTGTCTGCACTCAGGCTATTTATAACTCTCCCATTGTCCACAAAACAGGATAAAACATCCAGGGAACAGGAAAGGTCAGTCAGCTGATTATTGCTGACACACTCCCTACAGCAGTCTTCTTGGCTGAATCCATCTTCTAGACACAGATAACAATTACATTGTTTTAAATGAGGGCTGCTGGCCCATACAAAAGCCCATGACACAATGTTAGGGTGTTGCTATGCGATTGCAAGGTGTTTTGAATAGTTTTTGATCCTTTGTATGATCCTTTTACAGCAAATGATTCAGAACAAATACTGACAGAATTTGCCTGAGCTATTCCTATTCAGCCGTTCTTTTCTCATAAAGCCTGTCAATCCGACCTCTCACATGACACATCTTCTCTCTCCTCAGATCCGGATCCATACCCATCCTGCAGAGCCGCTGCTCATCTTGTTGTTACATCATGCAGTGTTTGTGCTCACACCTGACCACCTTTCTAAAAGCTTCATCTGATCTCTCTCCAGCTCCTGCACACCGTGAGCCAACATAACGAGACTGTTGTTACAGAGAAGAATACATCAGCATATCGTGCAGGTTATATGACACTAGATCAGAGGAAGCAACCATGATAACAGATAACAGTTCACGGCAGGACAAATGAGCTGTCTGCCACGGTGTGCACGGTCTAATTGCCTGTAGTGGGAAACAGCCTCTGTGTTGCATTGACAAACTAATAGGCTGCAAGCTTTCAAGAGCAAACGAAGCAGACAGTTGGAGGCTTTATGGCAGCAGATCTACCAGTTACACAAAGAGAATAGTCAGCCATATACAAGCCACTTATGATCACTGGAGGTACGTGTACATGGACCTGTTTACTGTTGTGCACAAACAGGCATAATAGCGGTAACATTTATAGCATATTCTATGGAGTTTACTGTACACAGAGTACATTACTGTTGGGCCAAACACACTTTAGTACATCCTATTATATGTGGATAGATAAGTTGGAAACACCTGAGAACAATTTTAATTAATACAATGCTAAATTAATACAATGCAATCAATCAATGCTAAACATTCATGCTTAACTGATCTCTCTTTCTCATGAAAATATATTTTTTTTCATTTAATATTTTAAAATTAAAAATCATCAGCATTAATATTTTTTATATTATATCATTTAATTATTATTAATAATATTTGGTGTAAGGAAATAGTTCTGTAATAAATGTAAAAATATGGATCAAGCTTTACAGGTACGAGATTAGTTAATATTAATATAATATTATAAAATATAAAATGATATACTAATTATAATATAATATTAATATTAAATTTAAAAATTATTTTTAAAAATATATTAATAAATAATTAATACATTTTAAAATATACATTTTATAAATTATTAAAAATTAATATACAGAGAAAAAAGATTCACTTAAATTCTGTGTTAATATATATATATATATATATATATATATATATATAATGTAATGTTTCAAAAATAAATGTTTTGAAAAGATATGATTCAAATGATTATATGATTCTTTACTGTAGTTAAGATTAAAAAAAAAGAAAAACAAAAAAAACTTTACTTAAATTAAAATATTTTAATATAATATGCAACATTATGTATTAATTATTACATTATGATAATATGTTACATAAGGTATTAACTATATATAAATGTAATAATGTTTTGAAATAATGAAAGGCATGATTCAAGCTTTATTGTACATGTAAAATGAGAATAGTTTAGATTAGAAATCACTTTACTTACAATTAAAACAATACAATTATAAAATTGAATAACACAATTATTTGTTACAGTTAGTGTAAAGCGTTACTGATTATTGTCCTATTATTATTTTGTTCTATTTTTCCTCTTTATTGATTGATTTGGAATTTTTTTCTTATATTTTCCCCTAATAAATAAGTTGAATAAATGTGGAATGTGCAATTACTGCATGACTATCTTTGCCAAACAAAAACACCAAAATAAAGCTAAATTCCCAACAGTTTTCTAAAATACTCCTCAAAATTCATGCTATTGGTTGTTGTGTCAGGCTGGTCAGGAAGTTGCACAAAAATGAGAGCAAATGTAAGTCCTCGTTGTCAAGCCCTGATACAGGTGTCAGTGTAAAAGAGTGGACGTTCTCCCACTTGCTTACCTGATATACGAACATGTAGATTGTGTTTGAGGCTGAATATCCCCTGCAGTGAGGAAGAAGTTTGAGATATGGTCTGGGCCGCTCTTTGCAGGGCATTGTCAAATATAGGCAGGACCTGGCTGGGGAACGCATTGAAACACTCTCCAACCTCCATATTGTCCTCGAATAAGGTCATGGCATTCACTACAACAGGATAGTGAGTATCTTCACTGGCCTCCTGGAAGATCTGTAGGAGATCATTCTTGTGGTGCTCCATCACATAAGTCTCAAACACCAGTCCTATCAAGGACACCTGATCTGGACTGAGCATCATGAGCCGGATCACTTAGACAGAGTATTCTGGAAGAGAGCAGTGGATGATGGGTCTGTCTGTATAAAACTTACAACAGTTCATCTTTAAAAACCCTTTCACACTCTTGTATCATGGTAGCTGATACGTATACAAATTCATTTAGAATTTATAGAAATTCCTATGACAAAAATTATCCTTAATATAGGTTTTTAATGATGATGAATGGCCAATTTTCTATAATTATCAATTGATCTGTAGTTCATATTAATGCAAAAGTATGAAATAAATCTTGCACAATATTTTCCATTTTAATTTACATTGTTTTATAACTTTTTTACTACATATACATGTATGTGAATATGTTTGTAAATATATATATATATATATATATATATATATATATATATATATATATATATATATATATATATATATATATATTCCCCTGTTGAGTACTATTTTAATAAAAAAATATAAAGGTTTCATGCAGTTTCTTAACCAATTTGAGGTCATAAAATTGCATTAATAAAACGGTGCAGTTGTATAAACAATTATACAAAATAATAATTAAAAATTGTAGATGAAGGGCACGGCGCTCTTACTGCCTGGTATGTACTTTATGAGTTCCACACATTTAACAAACATTCAAACCGTTTCCGTTGTCTTTCTACAAACAATAGAAACCTACAAGAATAATAAAGAGCACTGCTAATATTTAATTCCCTACAGTGCTGTATTTGACATACCTGTTCAGGGTGGACGAACAGAAATTATGCACATTAATAACAACATTAACACATGGCTGTTTCTTCCTGTCCGTGTTTTCAGATTTGGCGGTTTATTCTTCCTATTTCTGATTGTAGGGGAGCACGTGAAAACAAACTATGGATTATAGCACAAGATATGTCATTCTAATCCAGTATAAAACTGTAAAAGTAGTTTACCATTCATATGCTTTGTTTTTCTATATCTATATTGGCGCTGATGAATGATATGCGATAAATAATAACCACCCCCCCCTCCCCTTTTTTGAACTTGGTATAAACCAGTAAACGGATGTCGACGACGTTTTCTCTTTGACCGCCAGAATAAAAGTCCCTTTACTTTTATGGAAATGACACTGATAATGGACTTTTAATCGCGATTTTTGTGTCTATTTATTTATTTATATAATCTTAAGGAAAAAAAAAATGTATTAGATTATATTCTAAATAACTTTAGAATGTTATACATAATGTACACTATTTTTATTCATTAAATTGAATTATTAACGTATTGCAAAATGAATAATTAAATATTTAAATTATTACATAACGTTTTAATGCAACAAACTCATTAAATAAAAATGACAAGCACATTTAATTTTATTGAAAATTTACAGCTAGGGAATGTAGCACTTTTGGTTTCTCTTGTATCCCATTCTGCAGGTCAAATTTTTTTAATATATATATAAGCTACACTTAAAGCTACACACAAACTTACCTCTCATCTCCGATTATGGATTTGTCGTTGCAAGGGTAATTGTTCTTATATCAAGAAAAAGCCAAATGACAATAAAAGTGTTTATTGTTTAGTCTTTCAGGGCAATATGTGTTGATGTATATGAAAATACAGGCATTTTAAATCATATGTTCTTTGCTTTTGGTTCCTTGAATGGTAAAAGTTCACTCACATAACAGACACACTTCATTAAATGTCACAATAGTTATTTATTCTTACGCATACACCAGTAATATAAATATAAAATATGCATTTATTTTAAAATTAGTGAGACATCATTATATCTGTGTTGAGACATCCATACAAACAGTTTAATCCTACCAAAATTGATAATGCAGCTGTAACAAAGTCAGTACGGTGGCATTCTAAAATTAGATACAGAGGAGACAATACTGTTGTTTTTTTCTCTCTTTTAACAAATAGTAATTAGCAGCGTATGCACCAATCTATAGAAACTGCGGTGAATGAAATGTCAAACATACCTATCATCACTGTTAAAAACAAGAAATCCATTCACAGTGGGAAGAAAAAAAGAACAAATGAAAGGATGTGTCGTTAAATAATGTATTACTTTTTTGTCTTTTTTGTTTGGTTTGGTCGACATGCTCTTTAATTGCAAAAGTCAGAAGGAGAAGTACTGAGCGAACCACTCTTGTCTCTGGGGGTCTGGAGAGGTTACGGGTGATTCTTCTCCTTCAGGAGGGCTGAGGACAAAAACAGAGAGAGAGACGGAGATAAAGACAAAAAACAGAAAGAAAGAAAGACAGACAGTCAGAGACATGGAGAGAATCACAAAACCACTGTAAACTGCAGAGTTTCAGTAGCATAGCAACCATTGGATTGTTGTGTGTTCATGTGTTTTTAATGTACGTACGTGTTTGTGTGTGTGTGTGTCTGTGTGTTTCCCAGGAACCGAGTGATATCAATAGGCCATTGCACTTGCAAAAATAGTACTGGATTTATATGATGTATCATGTAAATACCATGGTTATGAATATGGTTATAATTTTTTATCATATTATGGCATCACTTCTAAATAAGAGTTTATCCCATCAGATAAAATAATAATACAAATTAGAAAAGAATAATTTTATTCAGCATGTAAGCATTAAATTGATGCATCCATGCATCCATTTATACATCCATACATCCATCCATAGATCTATACATCTTTACTGTACATTCATCCATGCATCCACCCATCCATCCATGCATGCATGCATCCATACATCCATACATCCATCTATACTGTACATCCATTCGTACTGTACATCCATCCATACATCCATCTATACTGTACATCCATCCATGTATCCATCTATACTGTACATCCATTCATACTGTACATCCATCCATGCATCCATCTATTCCGTACATCTATCCATACTGTACATCCATCTATCCATCCATCTATCCATCCATCCATCCATCCATCCATCCATCCATCCATCCATCTATAGTGTTCATTCATCAGTGCATCCAGCCATCTATACTGTACATGATACATCCATCCATCCATCCATGCATCTATACTGTATATCCATCCATCCATCCATCCATCCGTCCGTCCATCCATCTATAGTGTTCATTCATCAGTGCATCCATCCATCTATACTGTACATGATACATCCATCCATGCATCTATACTGTATATCCATCCATCCGTCCATCCATCCATCTATCCATCCATCTATAGTGTTCATTCATCAGTGCATCCATCCATCTATACTGTACATCCATCCATCCACCCATCCATCCATGCATCTATACTGTATATCTATCCATCCATCCGTCCATCCATCCATCCGTCCATCCATCCATCCATCTATAGTATTCATTCATCAGGGCATCCATCCATCTGTACTGTACATCCATCCATCCATCCATGCATCTATACTGTATATCTATCCATCCATCCATCCATCCATCCATCCATCCATCCATCCATCCATCTATAGTGTTCAATCATCAGTGCATCTAGCCATCTTTACTGTACATCGATCCATACATCTATCTATAGTGTTCATTCATCAGTGCATCCATCCATATACTGTACATGATACATCCATCCATGCATCTATACTGTATATCCATCCATCCGTCCATCCATCCATCCATCCATCTATAGTGTTCATTCATCAGTGCATCCATCCATCTATACTGTACATCCATCCATCCACCCATCCATGCATCTATACTGTATATCTATCCATCTATCCATCCATCCGTCCATCCATCCGTCCATCCATCCATCCATCTATAGTGTTCATTCATCAGGGCATCCATCCATCTGAACTGTACATCCATCCATCCATCCATGCATCTATACTGTATATCTATCCATCCATCCATCCATCCGTCCATCCATCCATCCATCCATCCATCCATCCATCCATCCATCCATCTATAGTGTTCATTCATCAGGGCATCCATCCATCTGAACTGTACATCCATCCATCCATCCATGCATCTATACTGTATATCTATCCATCCATCCATCCATCCGTCCATCCATCCATCCATCCATCCATCCGTCCATCCATCCATCCATCTATAGTGTTCATTCATCAGGGCATCCATCCATCTGTACTGTACATCCATCCATCCATCCATGCATCTATACTGTATATCTATCCATCCATCCATCCATCCATCCATCCATCCATCCATCCATCCATCCATCTATAGTGTTCATTCATCAGTGCATCCAGCCATCTTTACTGTACATCCATCCATACATCCATCTATAGTGTTCATTCATCAGTGCATCCATCCATATACTGTACATGATACATCCATCCATCCATGCATCTATACTGTATATCCATCCATCCATCCATCTATAGTGTTCATTCATCAGTGCATCCATCTATACTGTACATCCATCTATCCACCCATCCATGCATCTATACTGTATATCTATCCATCCATCCATCCATCCATCCATCCATCCATCCATACATACATACATACTGTACATCCATCCATCCATCCAAACCTTTTTCATTGGCAATTATAGTAACATGGATTTCTTTGAACTTTATTTGAATCTCCATTCATTCAACTAGAATTATTTTGCATCCTGTTCAAACTCAATTAAAATTCAGGAAGTGAATTGTAAACAAAAAGATCAAAACTTGTACCAGTTGACTTCTGGAAATCTGTAAAAGCTTGACATTTTGAGACATTGATGCACTGGATGTTTCCTGACTGTGATCTAATGCAGAGACTATGGACGGATAAATACGGCATGTTTTACTCTAATGTGAAAGTAGTTTACAAAGTTGAGTCAGCCTCCAGACTAAAAGGAAAAAAAAAAAAAAGAAAAATCCACAGTATTTTCATCCACATAAACTCAGAGTTTCGATCAGTGCTGATATCTTCAGTCAACCTGCTCTTGTATATTCAAACTTCTGAATCTTTGGAATTGTTGGCTTGAAATCTAATCTCTATTCTTTCATATCTGCAATAAAATCAATGTGCTTTGGTCCCTTAAGCCTGATCTGCAGCAAACTCAATTTAACGCTCAATTGAGCATTTGCATCAGCCTGTTCAGCACTAATGTAACTTCTACCTGCACTGAGACACACGATCATGAAAGTTAAACACCATCAGAGCAGCACAGCTGAAACAGAGTCATTCGACTCATTTAGAAGGTGGTATGCATATTGGCATGTATGTAAAAATTATTATTATTATAATGCATTCTGATGGCTGTACACACAGCATTCTTGCAGTATTTTTTTAACCAATTTTCTTTTATTTTTTTCTTCACAGACGTATTTGACCAAATGCATCTAGCATTTTTCTCTTTTTTTTCCCTCATGCATTGAAAATTAAATTTTTGAAAAACCCAAATGAAATTGCCGGTGATGTATTTCCAATTAAACAGGAAGTTTGAATAGGACGTATCAAAGTGATTATTGACTAGAGAAAATGACTACAGACACTCGATTTGTATACTTTCTTTTTCAGAGTACTTACATTTTAATTATGCATTGATATACATAGACAGTTTAAGCAAATTTGGGGAAAAGTTTTTTAGAAAATTTCTACCCACCGCACCTTTAAAGAGTTAGACTCACCCAAAAATTATTACTCACCCTCATGTCATTCCAAACCTGTAAGACCTTTGTTAATTTCCAGACTCCACATCACACGCATGCGTCGTGGCGTTCACGTGAACAGCATCAGCCAATACTGAGCAGACTGAGAAAAGCTCTGAGATTTCATGTTCTGAAGATGAATGAAGGTCGGTTTGGAATGACACGAGGGTGAGCAATTAATGACAGAATTTTAATTTTTTGGGTGAACTATCCCTTTAACTAATGTTAACGCATGAGACCTTATTGTAAAGTGTTACCGATTATCCCTAAAAAAATCATTTTTACTCTAGTGAGCAATGGACTGGGAAATGTGTAAAAAAATAATAACAGCCTTTCCTTGATTTTCTCAGACTTGTCATTTTATAATGTGCATATCTGCTAAAATATAATTTTGTGATTTAGCATATAAATGGCCTCAAATCAAACACATATTGACTAAAAGCTTCAAAACTCAAGCATCAAATAAAAAATACAGCACTTTTAAATCAGTTTATGTAAACATGTGCTAGATGGACACCTTTGACCACTGTGATGCATCTAGTAATTTCTTTCTTTGCATTTTTTAAAACCTCCATTGAAATGGGCATTGATGTATTTCCTATTAGAATATGACCATGGATAGGATTTATATATAAAAAGGGTCCATTTTTAAATAATAACCCAATTATCATTCTAGAGAGCATTCGACTGGACAAAAATCTAAAAAAAAAATTCTCTATTTTCCCAGACGGTAGTTTAAATGTGCATATCTACTAAAAGTGAATTTTGTCAACTTTTAGGAGTACATTAGCATATAAATGGCCTCAATACGAACACATTTCGACTAAAAGCCACACAACCCAAGTGTCAAATTACAAATAGCACTTTTAAAAAATTGTTCTTGAGACCAAAGCTCAAGTGCAAGCATTCAGTGTGAATGGCCCCTAAATCATAATACTCATAAAAAGGCAACAATAATTGTGATTATGAAAAAAAGACCCCACTTGAATCTTGCTAAGTGGACCAATGACATGAACTGAACCGAATAGACTGTGAGAGCCATATGAGGGTCACATGACAAAACAGGACAACCCCGCACAAGTCTACCTTGCTGCATCACTTGCACCTCATTTACATTCACACCAGCATGCAAAGAAGAACACGCAATGGTGCTTCAGATGAGACAGTGACTCAGCAAAACATGCATGACACGACCACCGCTTACAACATGCCAACTGCAAAAGCAGAGCCAGAGGCAAAGGTTTATTGTAGAAAAAATAAAGAGCAGGAATATTATAATGAATGAGTATATAAAGCCCAAAACAGTGTAATTTACATGTTCACACAGATGCAAGAGTGAAAAAATAGTTAATTCTCTCCCATGTAATGTGGTCTTCAAGGACAGTAAAAGACATTACATAACAGATGAGTATAACTTCCAGCACAAACAGAAAACACAACACAGAGACAGACACCAACTTCCAGCATGCACTGCGACAGTGGGGACACATGCTCCCATTTGCATTCCAATGCCATTTCCAAAGCTCATGTACTTCAGAAAGTAACATTATGCATTCATGTACATCAATGTTAGGAAAAAGCTCAAGTATCCCTTTTATTCGCCTGAGGTGAATGCACTGGCTGCGTTCGGAATGGAATACTAGCTTCTTGCATATCGCCTCCTGTTTTATACAGTATATTATGCGATATGCAGTGAGAAAGTTTCAAAAAGTGTGCTAATATTGTTAGCATGACTGTGGCATGCAGTAAGCATCTAAGAAATTAATAAAACAATGAGAAAAACAAATATATATATATATATATATATATATATATATATTTGATTAATCGATTCGATTAATCGCATTTAAAATAAAAGTTTGTGTTTACATAATATAGGTGCACTGTGTATAATTATTTTGTATTTATATAAATACTCCACACATGCATGTATATTTAAGAAAAAAATATTATTTATATATAAAATATTTATATTTATATATAATATAAATTATATATAAACCTATATACAGTATATACATGAAAATATTTCTTAAATATATAGAAGCATGTGTGTGTATTTATATATATATTAAATAATTATACACAGTGCACCTATATTATGTAAACACAAACTTTAATTAATCGCGATTAATCGTTTTAGACAGCCCTAATCTATATATATTTAAATAAAAAAAGTAATAAAAAATAATAATAAATGTGTGTATATATATATATATATATATATATATATATAAATCACATACTTTAGTGCAGTGTTGTTTTTATATATCTTAAATAAGAAAATTTAATGAAAAAAAATCTAAAAATTATTTTTGCAAATAACTGAAATAAATAACTTTAAGCTACAGTATTACAATTCCCAAAACTAAAACTGAAATAAAAATAAATTAAAGCAGAATGGAAATACTTTAAAAAAAATATATAATAAAGTAAAAAAAAAAATTAAAATAATATTAAAATAACATAGATTTTATGTAAAATGTCATAACCTTTAGCAGTCCATTAATGAACTTAATAAGAAAACAATGTATAAAAAGATGTTCAGGTTCATCCATCACTGGATGAAATGAAAGGCCAAACAGAAAGCATTGCATTATGGACCCAGTACCCAGCATAGTGTGCTCTGTTGTATACTGCAAAATATAGTAGGGTATTCCATGCATACAGTATATTTTAAAAAATGTGTACAGCATGGTAGTATTCCATTCCGAACAAGTGTACCGACTACAAAAGTATAATAAAAAAATAGAAAATAATATATGTGAATGGTTTTTTGCTCGTCAACTTTGAATCCTTCAATGTATTCCTCTCGAAAAGCAGCAATCCAAACTGGAATTCTAACACGACCCCAGTCCGAGACCAGGGCGGCGCACTCATTATTCAAGTTAATTAAGGAGACTGGAGCCGTAATTCTGGATTTCACGCTCTCTGTTAGGCAGAGAGGAGCCTGGGAGACGCAAACACAAAGCAAACCATCAGAAGTTTCCGTGGCACATAAAAGGGATACCACAGCTGCCCGGGCGGTACATTTTCAGTGTGCTGATGTGTTTGTCCGCTGGCCCGCGGTGCAGAGAGAGAGAGAGAGAGAGGCGTCTGCCGGGATGAGGTGCGCCTCACCTCGTCAATTTCTTGGGTTCGGTGAGAGGGGTCGGTGGGGGCAGGGGTTTGCTCGTGTTAGGCTCCAGCTGGTGAATGGGGGAGTTGGGGATTGGTTCGAGGCGGTTGGGCTGGGGCTGTCCGCTCCCTGTCCCCGTAGCCTCCACATTGGCCCTAAGATTGGCCGAGCTGCTGAATCGGGTGGCTGACTTGTCGTTCTTTCGCTTTTGCTACATAGGACGACAAGAAAAGCAAACAAAAAAAGGAGGTTGGGAGAGCTTGATGCTCCATTTCTAAGAAGTTCTCTCGATCTCCTAATGATTGCTTCCTAACAAGCGTCCCACTGAAAGTCAAGCTCGCAACACTCAGCAGAGGAAGCATCAGTCGCTCTCAGCCAATCAAATCAAAATGGGTCGAAAGAGATGTGTCAGAGGAAGAGGCTGTTGAAAATTTTCAGACTGAAAAAAGAATGGCTTGGAAAGCAAAGAAGAACTGGATGTCTAAACAGGAAGAGAACGCGGAGTAACGAGAGACACTGACACTCACACACACACATAAATGCACATGTAATCACTGACACTTGGAAGTTATAGAACACAGATGAGGGCAACAGTGAAATATCTGGTGAAACAGAATGACATTGTTTAGACTGGGTCAGGAACTGCTGTGATGTATGAAACAAACATCATTTCCTCTTAAGCTCTGGAGAAACATGAAGTTATAAAGGGATGGTTAAAAAATGAAAATTCAGTCATCATTTCTTCACCCTCATGTTGTTTCAAACCTTTGTATAATGAAGTGGTCTCTTTTTTTTATGTAATAGCAAGTTTTAAAGCTTCAAAATGTGCCCATAAAAGAAGTCCATAGAACTCTTGTGAACTCATAACGACAGATCCGAGTGAAGAACAGACAGATAATAATGTCCTGAATCAGAACGATTCAAAAACAAAATATTCAGATTTATTGAAAATATCAGAAACTAAATCTAAAACTATTAAAATAGTTTTTGTTAATTGAAATAAAGCTGAAAATATATATATATATATATTAGATGCAAAACTTAAATATGAACAAAACTGGAAAAATAAAGGAATGTTGCCTTGGCTACTTCCTCAAATGCTAATTTAAGCATTTAACTGAAATAAAGGTAAATAGAAATATTTTTTTAAAAATGAACACAAATGACAAAATTACATTTTAATATTGATAAGTATTACAAAAATATATAAATAAAAAAATATATATTTTAGCTTGGGTAGCACTGGTAGTGTACAAAATAAAAAATAAGAATAAAATAGATATCATATGGCTTCAGAAGTATTTAAACATAGCATGCATGCCGTAAGGACTATCTTTTTAAAAGTCTTTTTAAAGCCTGAAAGCTTCAGTCCCCATTCATTGCAATTGCATGTAAGAAACCAACCAAATGGAATCACATGAGGGTGAGTAAATCATGTCAGAATATTAATTTTTGGGAGAACAAACCATTTAATAAACAAGTGTGTATGCGTGTTTGTGCGCTTTATAAGAGCTCCAGCATGCTCTTGGTGAACAGTGTTTCCCATGAACTCCAGTCTGGCATGTCAGCTGTATTGCCTTTGCACCATAGTAACACTGCATCCTAACCAGGTACAACACTTCAGATTAAGTCATTTTCACAGTTATCAAAGTGTTTTTGATGCTTAATGTACTTTGAATCAATGAGATTTCACTGTGGAAGCAATTAACCACTGGCTGGGAACTCAGATTTTCAACGTATATGTAATTTATCACTTTTTGTGTCATGCCTGGCTAGGTTACAGTGTAAAAGAAACATTCAAGAAGAACTATCAAGCCCCACTGAGAAATGCACTGTCATTTCCAAAACTTAGTGAGCTGCCTCAATGTCTACTCTCTGTACATTAGAAACCATGTAGAGAGAATGTATGCACCTATAAACATGCAATTTGTTTAATTTCTTTGTGCTCTGCCAAGCTACTTTTTTATTATCAAAAGTGTGTGTCCCATGCAAACAGCCAGCATCCCAACTAAAATGGAGCCTAATCAGGTCACTAGGTTTTGGAACAGCAACTATGTCTTACTCAAACTAAATAATTACCAGCTCCACACACAAGGGCATAGTAGAGTACGAAAAAGAAATCCTACCTTGACAAGAGGGTTGATGACACCAACATTGGGGTTTGTGTTGAAGATTTTGTTGAAGTTGGTCTCTCTGTTTACAAGCTCCAGCTGGTAGAACTTCTTGTCATCCTGTAAAGAAAAGTAGATGCTCTCACAATGTTCATGGAATACCATTTGTCTACAGAACATGAGGAGCACTAACACAATTTTTTTTAAAAGCTTAAAGGAGTAGTTCACTTTAAAAAAAAAAACTTTAGTTGATAATTTACTAACCCCCATGTCATCCAAGATGTCCATGTCTTTCTTTCTTCAGTCGAAAAGAAATTAAGGTTTTTGACGAAAACATTCCAGGATTTTTCTCCATATAATGGACTTCAATGGGAACCAAACAGTTTAAACGAACCAAACCAAAGAGCTTTAAACGATTCCAGACGATGAATACGGGGCTTATCAAGCGAAACGATCACTCATTTAAAAATAAAAAAACAAAGTTTAAGTTTTATAAGCTCAAATGCTCGCCTTGCTCTGTTCAGTGATGTGCGTTTGTGACTCTCCTGTTCGAACTTTTCCCGAGTCAATTCGTTCATTTTGTTCATTGAATGAACCAAATGACACGAAAATAGATTCATTTTAATTCATTTTGATGAACGAGTTCGAACAGGATCAGTCACGAACGCATATCACAGAACAGAGCAAGGCGACCATTTGAGCTTATACAATTTAAACTTTGAAATTTTATTTATTAAATGAGCGTTTGTTTCGCTTGATAAGACCCTTATTCATCGTCTGAAATCGTTTAAAGCCCTTTGAACAGTTTGCAATTTGCACTGAAAGTTTTTTTTTGGACCTTGAACCGTTTGGTTCCCATTGAAGTCCATTATATGGAGAAAAATCCTGGAATGTTTTCATCAAAAACCTTAATTTCTTTTTGACTGAAGAAAGAATGACATGGATATCTTGGATGACATGGGGGTGAGTAAATTATCAGCAAAAGTTTTTTTTCTTTAAAGTGAACTACTCCTTTAAATACATGAATAAATTATTATAAGCTTCTGTTAAAAATACTAGTTCATGTGATGATAAAATGCATGCATTTTACATGACACAGTCAGTTATAGAAATTATATTGCTATTTTAATAAAAAATAAATTAAAAAAATGGTTTAAACATCAAAACCTTGCCATGATAAAATGTGAATTGGTTTTCACGTTTAACATTATAACATAAAATATAAATTCATAAATGTTAATATGGACAATATGGCAACTACTGTATGTATGTTCTCCCTACCACTTATGTTCCTCAAAACAATTATACACTCTCATTACATTAATCACAAAATGACGTGACATCATCATTTAACTCACATTTGACATTGATACTGTTTTTTTTCTTTCTTGACTTTCATCAAATATCACATTTCCACTCTGTCGCATAAAACAAAGAAAAATATAACTATAAAAGTCATATATTCAATATCAAATTCAGCTTTGGTTCAGTTCAGCTAATTAATTAAAGCACATTCAACTTTATTTGTGATAATGCATCAGTGAATTAATACGTTTTTAATTTCAATGTATACTGCTGAAAAGACCAGCACAGCTACTGTAATTATAGCAGGCGCTAGTTTGATTTTATTGCAGTCTAAATCGGAAAAATACAAGAAACATGGATGTCAAACGTCTAATAACATTGTTTTAGGAAAGCATTTAGAGAATGCGGTTGTCCCAGTGTATAGAGCAGGATTAAGCTGGTCTTTTCAGCAGGTTTGTTTGTCCTATAATAGATCCATCCCTCTAGTCTTGTGAGACTCTGCTAATCTCAGCAGGATGTAGCTGTACCTGTGGGATAACTCGTCTTGTGGAACAAGATTCACAGCTAAGGAATTTCACAATCAGATACTGAGATACTGTGTATGAGCATGAAACACTTCTTAAAGTGCTCTTACCACCAGTTTCTTGACCAAAGATTCTCTCTCGGCCACCATGTCCTTCAGTTCGGCTATTGTCTGCAGATCTTCAGGCCTGCTTTCTCTGTTCCGGAATTTGTCTTCTGTCCCCTCCAACCTGAGGAGCAAAGACATGTCTTTAAGATGAGGATTTCTCTTCAACCTTGAGATGAGTGGTTAACAATGTCTCTAAATGCATAGCTGCAGTCTATTATTAGCATAATAATAGCATTTTAGCAATTAGCATTTTTTCTCCAGTTCAAGATGGTGGACGGAGCGAGAGAAATGTAGATTATATCTCATAAAAATATATAAATAATCAACTATTTTACACAATTGTTTGTGTGTTTTGTGTGTTATTATGCTAATTACAGTATTGCAGCGTTAGCTTAGCAACTGAAATAGCATGCAGAGTGCTATTTGTGTGGGCTGTGGAGTTGCTAACTATGTAGAGCACTTCAAATAGGCCACTTGGCAGCAAGACAACTCACAACTCTCTCCAGTCTGTTTACAACCAGTCTGTCATCTGTTTGAGCTTGTGACTCATTACTGAGAGTGAAATTTGACTATTCTGACACTTTGAGCTCATTTAGAAAGCAAAGCTGATGGCGTTGCGCTTTTAACACAGAATTAATTAAACACCATTGATCAGATCCTCACGATGATATGGGCATATACACTTCATTTTCTCTATTTCTCATTGGATTAGTGTTATAGTTAAAATCATCAGAACTTTTGAATACCCGTTACTCAATCATTCCTTCATCAGGAATTCTTTGATTATAAGTGTCGTTGAGAATCAATATCTCTGTGTTTCTGCGACTTTGGATGTTTCAAAATGTTTGATGAATCTTCAATGAGCATGCAATGTGACTCTTCCCAGAGGTATACGGTGTTGAGATCGATGGCTGTTTTCATATGAAACCTTCCCTAAGGACTTTACAACTACTTGTAATGATGACTTAACAACTTTACAAATCAGTTCATCCATCCATCCATATCCATCCTTCCATCTATCTGTATATCCATCCATTAGTCAATCCATCCGTTCGTCTATCTATATATCAATCCTTCCATCCATCCATCAGTTTATCCGAGTCCATCCATTCATCTGTCACTCAGTTCATCCATCCATCCATCCATCCATCCATCCAACCAACCAACCAATCTATCCATCTAACCAATCTATCCATTTATCTATCTACGTATACCCATCATTCCATCTATCTGTATATCCATCCATTAGTCAATCCATCTGTCCATCCATCCATCAGTTCATCCATCCATCCATCCACCCAGCCATCCTATCTATCGATTTATCTATCTATATCCATCCTTCCATCTATCTGTATATCCATCCATTAGTCAATCCATCTGTCCATCTATCCATCAGTTCATCCATCCATCCATCCATCCATCCATTTGTCTATCTATATCCATCCTTCCATCTATCTGTATATCCATCCATTAGTCAACCCATCTGTCCATCCATCCATCCGTTTGTCTATCTATATATCAATCCTTCCATCCATCCATCAGTCTATCCATGAGTCCATCCATTCATCTGTTCATCAGTTCATCTGTCACTCAGTTCATCCACCCATCTATTCATCAGTTCATCCATCCATCCATCCATCCATCCAATTTATCCATTTATCTATCTATACCCATCGTTCCATCTATCTGTATATCCATCCATTAGTCAATCCATCTGTCCATCTATCCATCAGTTCATCCATCCATCCATCCATCCATCCATCCATCCATCCATCCATCCATCCATCCATTTGTCTATCTATATCCATCCTTCCATCTATCTGTATATCCATCCATTAGTCAACCCATCTGTCCATCCATCCATCCGTTTGTCTATCTATATATCAATCCATCCTTCCATCCATCCATCCATCAGTCTATCCATGAGTCCATCTATTCATCTGTCCATCAGTTAGTCTGTCACTCAGTTCATCCATCAATCTATCCATCAGTTTATCCATCCATCCTATCTATCCGTTCGTCTATCTATATATCTATATATCTATATATATATATATATATATAGATATATATATATATATATATATATATATCTATATTACAACACATCTTAGGGTTAATATTAAGAAATGTGCATTGTGCAATAAAGAAGTATGCAAAATAAAGTTTAATCATATTTATATCAGTAAGTCTCAACCAACGATATAAATACAAATTGATATAGTTTTTTTTCACTAGGGTATCTATCTGCTTATCAATATAAACTAAATAACTAAAACTTTATCAAATTAAAACTATATATTTACTGTATACAGAGTCATAATAGCAGTTCACTGAATGGGCGTTTCTGAGTAAATAAAGTTATAATTAAGCCTATTTTTCCATTTAAAATGACAGCAGCAAAGCCTGCACTCGAGCGGTTAGAGTAGTGAAGCCCATGCGCCGCACATGAGGATCACTGCACACACTAAATATTCATGAGGCTTAAATAGGTTGAAATTTAAAACTAGTTGGAGGACTCGATTTGGGGAAACTCAGCTGTCATAATAATTAATTGCAGAGAGGACAGGACTGTCATTTCAATAGGTTATGTTTAATTAGCTGGCTGTGTATCTGCTCTTCAGGGACACCTGGAGATGGCAAGCTTAGGAAAACGCTGAGGGATACAAGTTCTAACTGCTTCACACGAGACCCCATTCTGTTCAGTCACAGATTGACTGCTTCTCACACTAAAAATACTTGCACCGGGCAAATGTCCAAAACATCATTTAAAGGAATAGTTCGCCTTAAAATCCTTTACTCAGTCATGTCATTAGAATACCTTTAAACATGAAACTCACTATATCATATTAAACTATTTGCCAATTTAAATGTTTTTTTAAGATGTTTAAAACAGTTTGGAGGAAGAGTTTGAAAAAAAAAATCTTTTGCAGTGTAAGTAATTCCCTCAAAAAATCTTTTTTGAAAAAATGTATCTGATTTTTCCCCCTTTAAATCAAAGGTTGTAATACTGCAGTTCATCTTAGAGCTGGTCAGTTTGATTCAAGGCTTAGAGCTCTTTATTAAATAATTTCTTGAAATCTCTATGAAGAAACTTTCATCCAGCTCAGAATTTATTTCTTTGCTCTAATACAAATGTTCAGTCTGTGAAAGACATTTTCAAAAGACAACACACTTCCTGCTATGTACTACTGATTTTTATTTAAGACATGCTCATTTGTGAACAAATGACTCAAATGAATTGTTTTTTTTAGTCAATCAAGCAAGCAAAAAAAATAATAATAATAAAGAAAAAAATAATAATAATTCAAATGACTTATTCAAATTATCTGGCAGTAAAATTGAATTTTGTTTCCCCAAATATGTATTCTATTAATATTTTATTTATTTATTAAGTACCAAAATAATCACTAAGAGGATTTAATACCACTAGGGATGGGAATCATAAAGATTTGAACAATTTTGATTCTATATTCAGAATCAGAAACCAAATAGACAGATGCCAACTAATGACATTTGGCATTTAATAATGGCTTATATTTCTTGAAATCTCACACATGATTTTAGAATATCTGGAATACGGCTCTGGACAACTTTTATGGTGTTATGGCGCTTGACAGAATGTGTCTGCATTCGAATAAAAAAAATAGGGAAATTAATAAATGATAGAATCTTCCTTTTTGGGGAACTATTTCAGTATAGCCTTTGTCTCATAAACAAGAATTATCAATAAAAAACACTTGGATTTAATTGAACCTCAGATATTTTGCATGAGGAAAGTTGCCTTTGTTAAATTCAAATCTATGTTTCCCTTGTATTTTGTATGGTATAGGGCCTTTCCATGTCATTAAACACATTTCCAGAATCTAAATTATTCATTACAATTAGTAATTGATAACACTGAGCGCATCCAGGGAGTCAGATTAACTATTTTTACCACAAGGCAAGCTGTTAATAGCTGGATTTGTTGGTGCTCTTGTCTTGTTCAAGTATACCTAAATTAGGTCAACTCTGACAACAATATCTACAGTCAAAGAGTTCTTCAACAACCCTGCCAACTTTCTATATTTATCCACACACGCAAGCGCATATACACCTACTATTCATATACGGCTGTCTTTGAGTCTCAAATTCATAAAATCTACTAACTGAACTAACATATGGATTCTTTCCATTGCACAATGAGCTCTTTCGAAGTTCTTTAAAATGTTCTTCACACACACACACACACACAAAAAAAAAAAGGTTCTTTTAAAGGCAATTATGTAAGATTCTTTGATTTAAAATATCCAAGAGAACAATGTATATTTTGATGACTTGTGAACTTACATTATCCCAAAGGTGTCCAATATGAAAAATCAGCTATTTTAACCAGTGTGACAGCATGTGTCATTGAGTCACCTGTAAATGACGTCATATCCGGGTCACTCTCGATTTCCACTTTTACTTCCGTAGAAACCATGGAAACACCAAAAGACGCTTTAATATATTATGTGTTTTATAAGACAGGTGAGCAACTGTTTGGACATCTTTATCAGGTTAGTCTTATTGTTAGAATCTTTCGTTTTCTACATTTGCTGCGAGTAACGTTTTTTACCATGCTATTTTGTCAAGTGGCTAACATAGCTGAGTCAGAAAGAGCTTTATTTTTGTAGTAACAGTAACACAGCATTTTCTGATATCGATCTGTACTGCGGTGTGCAACAAGTGAGCGATACCAGCCACCGAGCGAACGCACAGAGTAACGTTAGTATGATTGTTTTGACTAAGTAAAACACTGCTGTGTTACCCCACAATTTTAATTTGGCAAATCAACTGACCAGTATGAGTAGTAATTCAGCATTAGCAGCTATTTCATTATAATACACATACTGTATATTACATAAAAACATCCACTCACAGGATCTGCAGGGCTTGGATCTTGTCCTTCAGCAGTTCCTGGGCCTTGTTGAAGTCCGACAGCATGTTCTGTGTTTCTCTGTGGTGGAGAGCGTTCAGCTCGGCCATCTCCCGCTCATGTTTCTTACACAGGTCCTGCTCATGAGCTCTGAGAACACACACATATACGCACATGACATACTCTCAATGAGCCTTCAAAATTCACTCATGCCTGAATTACGTACAATAAAGCACAACAGGAAGGTTTGGAAGTAAAAGAAAGTTTTCTTAAAAAAAAAAAAAATGTATTCGTGAGTCTCATTATGAAACAAGTAAAGACAACATTATATTTTTAATGAAATATTAGGGCTGTCAAAATAAAAGTTTGTGTTTACATAATATATGTGGGTGCACTGTGATAATTATTTTGTGTATATATAAATACACACACATGCATGTATATTTAAGAGAAAATATTATTTATATATAAAATATTTATATTTATATATAATATAAATTATATATAAATCTATATACAGTATATACATGAAAACATTTCTTAAATATATACAAGCATGTGTGTGTATTTATACATGTATATAAAATAATTATACACAGTGCACCCACATATATTATGTAAACACAAACTTTTATTTTGGATGCGATAATGTTGTAATAATGTTAATGTTGCTCGCCAAGACTGTATCTATTTGATCAGAAATACATTAAGACAGTTATATTGCAAATTATTATAATATGCTGATTTATTATTATCAGTGTTGCCTATAATGTTTTTGGGGAAACTGTGATACCATGATTTTCTTTTTTAGAATTCTGATGAATTAATGAATCAATTAGAAGTACAAAAGTACAAGAGTACAAAAACAACAGTACTTATTTGAAATAGAAATATTCTGAAACATTATAAAGTTCTTTACTGTCACTTTATCAATTTAATGCATCCTTGATGAATTCAAGTATTAATACTGTGCTGTATATTCAATTTATATAAAGATATTACGACTTCTTTCAGGAGAACATACCTTAGTTCAATTGCGGTTATTTTTCATAAGCCATTCATATTTTTTTTTCTTTTTTTAAACAAATCTCACTATATTTGCCTGTGGGAAGAAAAATAAACTTAATTCGATACATATTCTTGTCTTTTTAAAGGATGTTTAAAACTGTTTGGAGTATTTGTTTGGGAAAAAATATTTTGCAGTGAAATAATTCATTCCCTCAAAAGATAAAGCAATCTCTCTTTTAAGCGATTTTCAAATATTTTCCCCCCCTTTAAATCAAAGGTTGTAATATTGTCGTTCATCTCAGAGCTGATCGGTTTGATTCAAGCCTTAGAGCTCTTTATTAAATAAAAATGGAAGCAAACGTGCACAGTCATGGTTATGATTTATTGGCACATGGATCACTTCCTTTGATTCCTCTGTTATATTAAACTTTCATCCAGTTCAGAGTATATTTCTTTTCTCTGATTCAAATGTTCAGTTTGAGTAAATACCATTTACAAAGCACTGTGAAAGCAGCAGACATTTTCAAGACAACACACTCCCTGCTACAAAACTATTTATTTTTATTTAGGATATGCTCATTTTCCATATTGCCATATAATGTTTTCCAAAACATTCTCTACAATACAGTCACACACTGTTATGGCTTCAGACGAAGAGCAATAAATCAGGATCTCCTCTCCGTAAATGATACGCCCTTGGGAAACGGCGCTCCGATTTATTTGCCGCTTTTATCTCAGCACCTGGATATGTCAGTTTTACATAATTAAAAGTGAAATGAGATCGGCACCCCGTCTTGCATTATGTTGTGAGTTACTAAACAATCACATCATCTCAAAACAGCTGTTACTGTATGTATAATGAAATGCCTTTTTAACCTATTAACAAGAGTGAAATATTAGCATCACCCCTTGAATAAAAATGAGTGTAATGAGTTCAGGTTTTCTAATTTTTCTTTTTAAAATTTTTTTTATATCTCTTTCATCATCACCAATGACTCTTGTCACATAAAACCAAAGGAGAATGTAACATTAGCTGTTTAAAGATTAACAATGGTCTCCACTCTTAAAAATAAAGGTTGACTTGGACTCAAGTTTTAAAAATGACTCAAGTCTTTTATCCTTAACTGCTCTTTATCTTTATCACTGGAGTCTGAGTCAAGTCTGAAGTCTTTATCCCTGGAGTCTGAGTCAAGTCTGAAGTCTTTATCCCTGGAGTCTGAGACAAGTCTGAAGTCTTTATCACTGGAGTCTGAGTCAAATCTGAAGTCTTTATCACTGGAGTCTGAGTCAAGTCTGAAGTCTTTATCACTGGAGTCTGAGTCAAGTCTGAAGTCTTTATCACTGGAGTCTGAGTCAAGTCTGAAGTCTTTATCACAGGAATCTGAGTCAAGTCTGAAGTCTTTAATCACTGGAGTCTGAGTCAAGTCTGAAGTCTTTATCACCGGAGTCTGAGTCAAGTCTGAAGTCTTTATCACTGGAGTCTGAGTCAAGTCTGAAGTCTTTATCACTGGAGTCTGAGTCAAGTCTGAAGTATTTATCACTGGAGTCTGAGTCAAGTCTGAAGTCTTTATCACTGGAGTCTGAGTCAAGTCTGAAGTCTTTATCACTGGAGTCTGAGTCAAGTCTGAAGTCTTTATCACTGGAGTCTGAGTCAAGTCTGAAGTCTTTATCACCGGAGTCTGAGTCAAGTCTGAAGTCTTTATCACTGGAGTCTGAGTCAAGTCTGAAGTCTTTATCACTGGAGTCTGAGTCAAGTCTGAAGTATTTATCACTGGAGTCTGAGTCAAGTCTGAAGTCTTTATCACTGGAGTCTGAGTCAAGTCTGAAGTCTTTATCACTGGAGTCTGAGTCAAGTCTGAAGTATTTATCACTGGAGTCTGAGTCAAGTCTGAAGTCTTTATCAAAGGAATCTGAGTCAAGTCTGAAGTCTTTAATCACTGGAGTCTGAGTCAAGTCTGAAGTCTTTATCACTGGAGTCTGAGTCAAGTCTGAAGTCTTTATCACTGGAGTCTGAGTCAAGTTTGAAGTCTTTATCACTGGAGTCTGAGTCAAGTCTGAAGTCTTTATCACAGGAATCTGAGTCAAGTCTGAAGTCTTTAATCACTGGAGTCTGAGTCAAGTCTGAAGTCTTTATCACCGGAGTCTGAGTCAAGTCTGAAGTCTTTATCACTGGAGTCTGAGTCAAGTCTGAAGTCTTTATCACTGGAGTCTGAGTCAAGTCTGAAGTATTTATCACTGGAGTCTGAGTCAAGTCTGAAGTCTTTATCACTGGAGTCTGAGTCAAGTCTGAAGTCTTTATCACTGGAGTCTGAGTCAAGTCTGAAGTATTTATCACTGGAGTCTGAGTCAAGTCTGAAGTCTATCACTGGAGTCTGAGTCAAATCTGAAGTCTTTATCACAGGAATCTGAGTCAAGTCTGAAGTCTTTAAACACTGGAGTCTGAGTCAAGTCTGAAGTCTTTATCACCGGAGTCTGAGTCAAGTCTGAAGTCTTTATCACTGGAGTCTGAGTCAAGTCTGAAGTCTTTATCACTGGAGTCTGAGTCAAGTCTGAAGTATTTATCACTGGAGTCTGAGTCAAGTCTGAAGTCTTTATCACTGGAGTCTGAGTCAAGTCTGAAGTCTTTATCACTGGAGTCTGAGTCAAGTCTGAAGTCTTTATCACTGGAGTCTGAGTCAAGTCTGAAGTCTTTATCACCGGAGTCTGAGTCAAGTCTGAAGTCTTTATCACTGGAGTCTGAGTCAAGTCTGAAGTCTTTATCACTGGAGTCTGAGTCAAGTCTGAAGTATTTATCACTGGAGTCTGAGTCAAGTCTGAAGTCTTTATCACTGGAGTCTGAGTCAAGTCTGAAGTCTTTATCACTGGAGTCTGAGTCAAGTCTGAAGTATTTATCACTGGAGTCTGAGTCAAGTCTGAAGTCTTTATCAAAGGAATCTGAGTCAAGTCTGAAGTCTTTATCACTGGAGTCTGAGTCAAGTCTGAAGTCTTTATCACTGGAGTCTGAGTCAAGTTTGAAGTCTTTATCACTGGAGTCTGAGTCAAGTCTGAAGTCTTTATCACAGGAATCTGAGTCAAGTCTGAAGTCTTTAATCACTGGAGTCTGAGTCAAGTCTGAAGTCTTTATCACCGGAGTCTGAGTCAAGTCTGAAGTCTTTATCACTGGAGTCTGAGTCAAGTCTGAAGTCTTTATCACTGGAGTCTGAGTCAAGTCTGAAGTATTTATCACTGGAGTCTGAGTCAAGTCTGAAGTCTTTATCACTGGAGTCTGAGTCAAGTCTGAAGTCTTTATCACTGGAGTCTGAGTCAAGTCTGAAGTATTTATCACTGGAGTCTGAGTCAAGTCTGAAGTCTATCACTGGAGTCTGAGTCAAATCTGAAGTCTTTATCACAGGAATCTGAGTCAAGTCTGAAGTCTTTAAACACTGGAGTCTGAGTCAAGTCTGAAGTCTTTATCACCGGAGTCTGAGTCAAGTCTGAAGTCTTTATCACTGGAGTCTGAGTCAAGTCTGAAGTCTTTATCACTGGAGTCTGAGTCAAGTCTGAAGTCTTTATCACTGGAGTCTGAGTCAAGTCTGAAGTCTTTATCACTGGAGTCTGAGTCAAGTCTGAAGTCTTTATCACTGGAGTCTGAGTCAAGTCTGAAGTATTTATCACTGGAGTCTGAGTCAAGTCTGAAGTCTTTATCACTGGAGTCTGAGTCAAGTCTGAAGTCTTTATCACTGGAGTCTGAGTCAAGTCTGAAGTCTTTATCACTGGAGTCTGAGTCAAGTCTGAAGTCTTTATCACTGGAGTCTGAGTCAAGTCTGAAGTCTTTATCACTGGAGTCTGAGTCAAGTCTGAAGTATTTATCACTGGAGTCTGAGTCAAGTCTGAAGTCTATCACTGGAGTCTGACTCCAGCTTAAAGACTTCAGACTTGACTCGGACTCCAGATGAAAGACTTGAACAACTCTGTCACAAACTACTTTGTAAACAATCAGGTCAATGTGTGATCGTCAACGAGTGGATCTCTGAGCTGGTGTAAGTGAGTGAGTGGAGACGGGGCTAATTTGCATATTCATAGAAACCCGTATACTAAACGAGGCAAGGGTGTAGAGTTACAGTACATTCAAGCTATTTTAAGGCTATTTTCAAGGAATCAGTATTTAAACATTTAATTTTGGTGATCAAAGATAAAATGATAAAAATGATAAAATGACTACAGGGGGACTTTAAGAGTGAAGGACGACCCCATGCATAGAGACGGGAGGTGAAATGTACTCATCCCTAATCAAAGACTCACCTGATCTGCTGATTGGCCTCGCTACGGATCTTCAAAACCTCTTTGCCCTTGAGTTCCAGCTCCTTGGTCAAAGTGCTGATGTTCTCATTCAGGGTGTGGATCTCGTGGTCCAGATCCGCAATGTGCTTCTTCCTGCGACTGACCTCATCCTGCAGATCTGAGATACGACTCAGCAGCTCATGTTCCTGAAAAACATGAGCATTCAATGTCAACCGAAGCCACGATAAAAAACAGACTGTCCTTACTTGAGAATGCCATGATGTGTTATGTTATGTAAGAGTGTGGATTGTTTGATGGGTTCATCTGTGGTGAAGGCTCTTCCAGAAACTTCTGAATTCAGACACACATGGGGTTCCCACGGATGCTATTTTCACTTCGCACTTGAGACTATGTGGGGATCTAATATTGATGGCACCTCTCTCGGTTTCTCTGTCCTTATCCAATACATGAATAGTTCTGTTATGAATAAATAAAAGGTGGGAGCCGTCAGCAGATCTACAGCATTACATAGAGGTTTTAGCAGCACAGTTTCATCTCTTGAGGGACGCCAGAAGCTAATGGGCCTTGAGTTCTAAAGTTACTGAAACCCCCCCCCCCCCCCCCCAACTTTTTTCGTCAACTTTAAGTATTTTATTTAGTTACTTTTTTTTGAAATGGCAAAAAATATAATGTTTCTGGTGAAATGCTCTGTAAGAATTGAGTAATCTGTTTTAAAATAAGTGAGGAAACTCTTGCAGAAAAACATCTCAGAGCACTGTGAAGATTTATGACTTTGAATATGACACTGAATATAACAAAATACTACCAGTTGTAGCACTCATCATTTCACAGTAAGAAAACAAACAAATCAATCAATTTCAAATAAGTTTTTTTTTTTTCAAAGTTCGTAGTTTAATTCCACATGACTATTTTTTGCCCTCTCAGACCTTTACAATTAAACACAGGGTGTTTTGTTACTTACTTTTAAGGTTTCTATATGCAAATAACATATGTTATGATTGACTAAACATTCTGTAGGCAAAATGACTAATATAACCAACCTGATTTTACTGAATACTAAAAAGGTGTTTTCCATGATATGGCATCCATTTTAAGCAATTGTTTGTGATTGCACCAACAAACTGAGACCTATACCACATAAATGCATGAACCTAACTTTATATACAGCACTTTCCAAAAATAGGGTACAAATAAGAGCCTGTAACTCTTTAAGGATATTCCTATAATATGATGACCTCTTAGATGTCAAAAGGAAAATTTGATTTCTCAGTTAATCACAAAAGAAATTTCAAAAGCACTAACAACAAAATGTACTGTATTCTTGCAACATAGGATAGGTAGTCACTACACTGAAATGTTGATACACAGCCGTAAACATCAGACTCCAGTACAACCCAGGTTAGATTAATTAGATGCCGCTTGTCTCAGGCAATTTTCCACTCCACTGACACTTTGACTTTTAAATGCCTTATTCACAGGAAGTAGAAGAAATCGTCCTGGATAATGCAACTGAGCCAATTTCCGCTTTAATGTGGTTAATGGCTCTTGCTTAATCAAATTACAATCTGCTCATCCAACTTTGAATGTCTGTAAATATCATTTCACACAACAATTAGCTTACTAACGGTATCAGTGTGTGTGGCAAAAAACAAACAAACAAAACCTGTGGTCCAGAGGGGCTTCCTCCGGGGACAAATTATATCATAAAGGACGCCAACGTCAGCAGAAAATGTACTAAAATGGCAAAGATTTGTGTGTATATCCCCGGTGTGTAAAAACTATGTCTAACGTATACTCACTTACATAATTACAAATATATCACAACCATTCCAGATGACTGTGGAATACCCTGAAAGAGCATTTTATCTCCAAACCACAACAGATGGTTCATCTTGAGAATGAAGCATAAAACAGCACGAACACTTCTAAGAAAATCTGTCCAAATAGTAAAACCATTGAGTCTTTGCCAAGCTCTGTTTCTCTCACTCTGCCCAGTTTACCTCAGCAATGATATTATGCTTCAGAGCAGTCCAATATCCATAAATTCACAGACAAGGAAAGAGAATTGAACATACTTAGCCTTCTCTCATCAGATTCACAAGGAAGTCTTACAATAAACATTTGAAAATCTGGACAATCTGGCCCCTAAAAGAAAGAAGAAACTGAGCCCTGCTGTACACCAACAGCATGTCAACAAAACATCTGCTCTTCCTGCTGTCATTGAAAGGCTATTAGCTCAGTAAGTCTCTATTAATCTCTAAACTATAACCAGGGGTGCACATAATATAGAGCGCAGATGCGCATGCCTGGTAAAAAATAAACAATGCAAATGTGGATGGAAGCACTTTTGAGTACCAATATTTTTGGGGACAATGACACGTTTGCTTACTGGAGAAGGATATTTCTCCATGTCTGGTAAGATAGCTATCATAATATTAATTTATTATTAGTTGTTAATAGGGGTGCAAAAGATCACAGTTGATCCGTGATCCATATGGACAAGGCATCATGATTTGGCACGCATGTGGTTCGTGGATGAACTGCAAAGTTTAACCATCATAGAGTAAAAGTTTATAATTTGGACGTGTTTTGTCCTGCCAATTTACACATTCAAACGATTTTAAATTGTGAAAATTGTGACTCGCGGACTGTTATCTATCAGACGCACACAAAGAGAGAGAGAGTTTAGCAGAGGGTTAATTCCTCTTTACTTGCACTTGAACAGACACACACTCGAAATGATGTCAAAATACCCATCTTGGCAAGTGGTCTCTCAATTATGTCATAAGGCCGTGTGTCAACCAAAGCGTTTTTAGCCAGCTGAAAACGCTAGACGCTCTGCTGAAGACGCCGTGCTTTGGGCGCTTGAGAGCGTTTTGGCAGCGCAGCGTTTTTTCCGTTGAGACGTTTCGTTGCTATGATACAGAATATCCGCAGCAGTTGAATGTTGTGACAGTTGGTCGGTGTGGTATTAGTCCCGCCCCTCCTCCACCTCCACTGTGATTGGACACGGCTGGGTAAAAAGTGACATTGATGAGCGCTGCGTTTTATCCAAAGTTGAACATTTTTCAACTCCCAGCGACCAGTAAAAAACGCTGGGCGCTCGGCGCTTCAGCGTGAAAAAAACGCTCAGCACCTCGGTACGCTCATGGCGTTTAAAAAACGCGGCGCTCCCATTGAAAACAATTGAAAACATACGCCAGGCGCGTGGAAAAACGCTTTGGTGGACACACGGCCCAAGTGAACAGTTGAGAAAGAAACCGGATGTGTGTCAATATACTGTATAAAGTCCGTGCATTCGGTCTTAGACAACAGCAGGAATATTAGGCTGCTGTCACTGTGTCGATGTTAATAAAATGAAAGAAATACAGCCTAAAACAAAGATAAAGCTATATTTAATTTCAACAGTGAACAAATAGTGTTATAGTGCGGAGAGTAGAGAGGAGGAAAGTGATGACGACAGCTTAGAGGATAAGTGTGAGTACCGAGCAGCATCTCCAGGTGGTCGCCTGAGGACCAAACCATTGACTATAACACTCATGTGCTGAGGCTCAGGTGTGTGTTGGGGAAAAACAAAGCAGTCTTTATTCCGTGACCGCTAACTGAATGTGACGTTAATGTGCTGGAGCAGAGCTGTCAGGGGGTCTGCTCCTGACATTTCCATTTACACTAACGCTAACTAAGACTGGGACTCCAGCAGACCACAGGAGCAGCGCCTGGAGAAAACAGCGGTCCGCTTCTCCTCGTGCTCATGCTCTCAGACCGACACTCGCTCACACTTTCTCTCACACTTGACTTGAGGGTAGACTCTTTTCAACTTGGTCACCTAACAACCATCCAGACCAACACATTCTCATACCAAGACGTCATCTAACTGACGCTTTTGACCATACGTCAACATCTGACGCTTTAGGGCACCTTTTAACGTCAGCTAAATGACGCTATCCAGGGCTTTACCTTTAGCGTCAGTTAGATGATGCGGGTAGGTTTAGGTCTGGGGTAGGGTTAGGGTTAGATAGAGTCATCTAACTGACGTTAAAGGGTGACCTAAAGCGTCGGATGTTGACGTATGGTCAAAAGCGTCAGTTAGATGACGTCTTGGGATGAGAACGGGCTGTCCAGACACCTTATAAATGCCCTGACAACAACATTTCATTCTTAAGGCCTGTTCACTTCACACCAAGAACAGTTCAGTTAATTCTGAGTACAAGCTGCAGTTTTGTCGTCTGCTGCTTTAAATGCTCAAGCTCTTAGAGCAGAATGGATTCTGATTGGCTGTTAATGTTTTTATCGTTCATCAGTTGGAACAAATCATTTTGAAAGTGACTTTAATTATATAGTTTCTCTGTTCTCTATTCTGCTTTAATATAAGCAACAAAATCAAAATGCAAATTAAATTTATGCTTTGTCATTATGGTAACAACCTGCTTTTGTACTAAAATTTAGATTTTGATTGGCAAATTTGCCTGGACTGAGGTCGAAACACGGATAAAGGCAGGGTATTACATAATCTGACTTCATACTGCATGAAACCAGCTTTAGCTGAATAATTGATTGTAGATTTTGAACACACAGTGTTTGAAGAGTGCAAGTAAGAACCAAGCATCAGGTCAAAATTTACCTTTAAGCTCTGGAAAGACCCTCAGAAAATGTCACACCTGTCATGACCGAGATAAACCCGGACAATCAGTCATTTGACATCAGCAGGTGTCCCTTTTCCTAAAGAGTCGTGGCTTTAAAAGTCCAGTGCTTATTCTACTGTACAGAAAGAGCTCTTTCAGCTCTTATCCCTGAAGTTGAAAGGGTGTAATTTGCGAGGGCTGAAGTTAACGTCTATAACCTTTTCCATCAAAGACGGAGGAACCTATAAATGTCTCCCTGGAGGAGTACTTCAACGCGTAGGATAACATAGGCATCATTAATGTTGGCCCAAACCAAGAGGCATGCAGACAGTTGAGAGGGGGCTGATTAGCAGGTGTCTGGGTGGATGTGTGGAGTTGTGCTCTCCTGGGCATAGCACCCCAAATAAACAAAACAAAAAAAAAAGCCTGAGCGAGGCTGGATTGATTTCAGTGTTTTGCTGATCAAAAGCTTCTCGACCGAGGGGGAACGGCACAGGTCATATTAGTGGGATGGGTGGGGGAGGGTTTTGGTCTGGTGGCACAAGGTAGTAGAGTTATTCAAC